CAGTTCGTGTAAAAACAACGATAAACTAACTTGTATTTTTGATCGTTATTTCGGTATAATTTACTGAACACGCCGTACCTACGTAGATAAACAAACAGTAAAACTTTATTTTGATAAGTTGAAAATCATAAAAAACAGTGTCTGTGGTCAAAAATAATATATCGACAGATTTACCTTAGTTAGAAAAACTTTATTTAGAAACTTGACTTTAAGCCCCATACTCACACTTCGCTCCTTCCTCGCCTTACTTCCTCGCGTTACTTCCTCGCGTTACTTCCTCGCGTTCCTTCGTCCCTTCGCTTCCTTCCTTCGTGCATTCGATGCTTGGAAATTAGTCAGTTATGCAACAACACACCACAAAATATTTTTAATATAGCAGCTACATGTTTAATACGAAATATCTAGTAACGTCTAAAATTTTTAAAAAATCTGAAAGGCGCATAATTTTTATTTTATAAAACTGCAATTCCTTGTCGTGTCAAAAATAAAAATTGAATTTTAATAATATATTTTTTTTTTAATAAATCCGAATATTTCAGTATCATATACAAGGTATATCAGTATGAATGTACAAGGCGAGTCAACAATAGAGTAAAGTTTATTATGTAATTTATATCGAAACCATGAAATATGACATACTAATTAAACGTTAATGGTGTCAATCCCCATTTCTTCAGATATTTTTTGTAAAAGGCATCATGCACATTATTTCTATTTTTTTATTTTTGTCGCTACGATTACATAAATATGGACATGCATTTTTTCACAAATATGAAGACAATATTGTTTTTTTCTTCCATTTTTTAGACTATTGTGTGTGAATTATTTTTATATCGACTGGCGATTGCTAGATGTACAGGCTGTCCCATTTATGTGTATTTTATGGGGTTTCTGGTTTATGAGTAGAGATATAAAGATGCTGTTTTTTACATCATTGTTGTACTTATTATGAAACTAAATATGCTACATAAGAAATAAGAAATAACTTTGAACTAAGAAGGCTAGGATAAATATGTATTTATCTGGCAGCTATTGTTCAAAGTGCCTTTCTTATTCTTTCTTTACACATTTTTCTAATTAGTAGAAATTTTGCATTTTCGATAACCTTTGTATCTCGATTATCTTATAACTTATCAGAAAAGGTGAAAAGGGTCAGTGATGGGCGGTAGGTAAGTACCCAATTTGTAGATAAATAAAATCTGGGTATATATGTATATACCTGTAGATTTAGATGAACATCCTAATTTTAATAAAAGGAGTTTCCGACGACCGCATAGTAAATACCCGGTATAATACCGGGAATAGAAATATACCAATATATAATATCTACAATATATATAAGAAATATTTTAGATATACTCGTATTCCTGACATTACTGGTATTATATCGGGTATTTACTATGCGGTCGTTGGAAATACCTTTTATAAAATTAGACTGTTCATTTAAATGTACAGGTATATACCGGATACCCTGATTTTTTGTTTTGTTCTACCTATTGAGTACTTCCCCACCGCCCGTGTCTCGTTTTTCAGGTAGAATGGCAGTGACGAAAGCGGTTCTTCGTTGGGAGCTGTCTATTTCGAAAAATGACTCAAACTTATGTTCTTTTTTTTAAACAGGACACTCTATATATTATTTTTATTTTATTTGCCTTGCTATGAGCTTTCGAAAATTATAATATACTCTATATATATTTATTTAGGTACTGCTAAACTGCTAAACGGCTCTTATTTAATTTAACTTAATTTTACCAGATACTTTTGCTTTGCATCGTGATATTTTGATAAACTACACGGAAACTGAACTTGTGCTACTTTTAAATAACATGCCAATAACCAACATTTTACGTCAAATAAATTAGTTGATTGTTTTGATTACCTAATTTAAACCGGCCGACTATGTAATAATGTTAAATAATGCATTTTTACCCCGTTTATGAAAATAAGTATTTTAGAAAGCTCGTAACAAGGAAAATAAAATAATATACAAAATATCGTATTTAACAAAACATATAAGTTTTAGTCAATTTAAAAAAAGACAGATTCCAAAGAAGAAATAGTTACGTCACTGCATTCTACGTGAAAAACTGTACGGGAGACCGTTTTCACCTTTTCGATAAGTTATGATACAAAAGGGATCGAAAAATGCAATAATTTCAGATTCGCCCTGTATTTTAGGAAGTAAGAGAGCTAGGACATATCTGTATGTAGCATCTTTAGTTTCATAAAAAAGTAACAGCGTAATGTGAAAACCGCATCTTTGTATTTCGACTCATAAACGAGAAACCCTGCAAAACACATGAAAATGGGACACCCTGTACAGACGTACTGCCAAATCAAGAAATCAACTACGAATGAAATCCAAGATCGATTTATATATTTTATATATTTTAATATTTTTTTGTGTTCGTGATAATTCCTTTGCTACTTCCTCCAAAAACCGACAATACGTTGGAAGGAGCTTTTCGAGGAAGTAAACGGACGAAGTAGCGTTTTGACGAAGGAGGAAGGAACACACAGTCGCATAAAATCGACATTTTCCCATAGTAAATATATGATTTTTGAACGAAGGGACGCGAGTGAGTATGGGGCTTTGTTAGAAAAACTTTATTTAGAAACTTTACTTTAGACTTCAACAATAATTTCTTGTTTTTTTAATTTTCTCTAAAACGGTACGAAAATTTAAAAAAGTGTAAACTGAATTAACCATTTTAGAACAATCAAAAATTTTTATGAAGAATGCATTTTTCTCAAAATGTCAATAATAAAATTGTTTTTCCTCTTGTAAAGACAATCCGGGGACATACTGTAGATTAATAGTACAGAATGGGGCTGTAGTTGTATGTAAAGTTAATACGTATAAGAGTGCAGGTGTAGTATCTGCTAGCAAATGTAATAGGCATGTTGCAGTGCTCATAAAAAAAGTAATAAAACGACTATAAAAATCGTAGGGTTCTAATATCAAACATTGTTACAATGTTTGCAATATAATATAAGAGAAATTTAATTAAAAATTAAATACCTAATTAAAACTAAAATATACACTAAGTAACAAGAACAAGGGAACACCTTTTCATAAGATTTTAATAATTCTTGGTGTACAGGGTGGGTCAAATTCGACGCTTTTAAATGGAAACACCCTTTTCTATAGGAGATAGACGAAAACTTATATCGGTGTCTGGAGCTCAATTTTCATCAAAAACATGATGGTGAAAACCGCACATCAATATCTGTTACCGTTCCGGAGTTACGGGGTGTTTTTCAAAAATGTGCATTTTTAACAAATCGCTGTAAATTTTTTGCTATGGAAATTTTTTTATTTCTATGAAAACATTTCCAGAACACCTTTTTACGTAGAATTTAATTGTTTTAGTATAATTTTTTTTAAAATTAATAATTTAAGAGTTATCAACAGAAAAATTGATTTTTTATATGGGACACACTGTAAATTTTTAATTTATTGAAAAGAATTTAAAATTACCTTTCCAAAAATATAACACACTTGATATTTTGCTCGATCTCTTCGAGATATAGAGTATATAAAAATTCGCCCGCTTTAAATAAGCTTTGAACGGCACCGGCTGTAATGTAAAAAATTTTTAGCTGTGAGCATCAATTAAAACGAAAATAATATTTGCTATGAGAGATGCAGAATTTTATAACAATTTAAAATATATTTAACCAACATCAACACATTTAAACTATATCTAATAACAATAAAAATAAATAGCAAACCAGGACATGAGATTTTGCTACAGGTGTTCGACATATCGACCGTCTTCTGTTATGGACAGACGGGGCAGTTTTTGAACATTTCTCGCGGAATTCATTAACTCAGTAGGGGTGAAAGATATCCTCTCATAACTGCTAAGTATTTCTAATTCTTGTCTATATTATACAGAAGAATAAGGAACCTTTATTCTTCCGCAAATATGTCCATAGGATTAGATCCATGGGCACTAAGTCAGGCGGCCTCGACGGCCAACGACTGGGTGCATGGTCAGCTGTTCAATTGTTCTTGAAATTGGCTGCAGAAATTTGTCGATAACTTCAGCGTTCAGAAGTGGTGCGTCGTCTTGCTGGAAAAATATGTTTTCGAGTTCCATTAAAGGCATATCATCAATGAGGGGTCCAAAGCCTACTAGTTAAAAGTGGCGAACTTTTAAAAATTCTATATTTCGAAGGGGATTATAACAAAATATCAAGTGTGCTATATTTTTGGAAAGGTAATTTTAAATTCTTTTCAGTTGATTAAAATATACAGGGTGTCCCATATAAAAAATTAAATTTTTTGTTGATAATTCTTAAATTATTAATTTTAAAAAAATTATACTTAAACCATTAAATTCTACGTAAAAAAGTGCTTTGGAAATGTTTTCATAAAAATACAAAATTTTCCATAGCAAAAAAGTTACAGCGATTTGTTAAAAATGAATATTTTTGAAAAACACCCCGTAACTCCGGAACGGTAACAGATATTGATGTGCGATTATCATGTTTTCACGGCGTTTTTGATTAAAAGTATCATATCGGTAGATTTTTTCCACAAGCACACTTATTTTAAATGACTCTGTGAGCAATATTAGCGAGATAAGAATTTTTTTTGAAACGGTTCAGAATCTTTATATACTTTTCAGTGAAAGTCTACCCCGTTGGCAAAGCCTAAACTGCGAAATAAAAAATAGTAAAAAACAGTTGGTTTAATCTAGTTGTTTGGATATAATAATAACTCAGTATAGAATCAGGTATGACACATTTCAAAATATTTATTCTAAATTTGAAATTTTAAACACACAAACATTTAAAATCCCAGGAATCTGATATCTTAGCTAACGCCAAAGTATTAGTAGACAAATATCCTAACGACCTAACACAAAATCTAGCATCGGAGCTAATTCAAGCAAAAAATTTACTTTATGAAAAAATCAAAAAAATTTACAGTATCAGAGAGTTTTCTGATTTTATTTTCGAAAAAAACTAATTATTAATTAGCAGTATACCTGAGATTTGCACTGTATTCCAGTTGTTTCCGGTTCTCCCTATAACATCCGCTGAACCAGAAAGAACTTTTTCTAAGCTGAAAATAATAAAAAGTCTATAGCAAAAGAAGCAGATTTGGACAGCCTCGTAAACAAGTTGCTTTTGTTAAGGTCGAGGAAAAAGGAATAGACTTTCTAATATACCATAGGGTACTTCATAAATATTTACAATTTCTTTTTCACATTTGTGTTCTAGTTATTAGTAGTTAAATGTTGAGTTTTTTTTTAATAAAACTTTGATTAATTAGAAACACAAATGTTTGTGTTCTAGTTTAAGTATTTGAAGAGTACTATAATAATAAATAAATAAATAAATGTTGAAACAATTATCAAAATATAAAAAAATGTCACATTGTGGCTCTTGTTAAAAAATATGTTTCAAGCAGATATCACAATAATGATGTATTTGAAGGAATTTTTGAGTATACTTAGGAGGGCCCCTAACAAAGTCTGCAGGGGGGGCCCGCGAGAATTTGCCACGCTACTGTTCATTAGACATGAAGATTTCTTAATTCCCAACCTTAACACCATCAGAATTGTATATTTTTACTGTAATAGATTAAATTTTTCAAAAATAATCATAATTTTGTCAAAATAGTTGAAGAACCGAGAGGTTAATTTTAACCGTGAATAACTTTTGAAGGAGTAGGTTTATCGAAAAATTATGAGAGACCTTTTTTGTAGAGCGTTCAATTCTGTATAAGAATATGTAATTATCGTGGCTATAAGGGAAGAAAATCAAGAGAAAAAAAAATTATTTGCAAAAAGTGGCAAATTCCCAAATTTGTAATTTAAATGAGAGATGACTCGTCTTTGGGGCAAGGTTTATTGTGAATATTAAGGGTTTACAATGGTCTGTTATTATTTTTTAGGCCATAAACTAAAAATTTAGAGGGCGTCGTGAGAGAAATGATCAATTTGGTAAATAACGGGCACCCTAGTGTACCGGGTGTCCCAAAAAATAGCTCTCGGCTGTATCTCGGAAAGTATTAGACGTAGGGCTTGGGGAAAAAAATATTTATAACTAAAGAGGCTATGAGAAATTGCTGGAAATTATTTTCAAGTTTATAAAATGGCCGCTAGGGGGCGCAACTGGCGCAAACGAGGGCTCGTTGAAAAGAGCGTTTCTTACTCTATATTATACCATAAATATTATAATAATAAGGTTTTGAACGTAGACGCTAGGGGGCGCTTTCTTACAATTTAACAAACATGGCAGATCGCAAACTTGAGCAACGTGCTTGGGAGAGAGTTAAATCTAAGGACTCTACTGCAAGTGAAAAAGCTTCAGCTTGGTTTGTAACAAATATTATGAAGGCAAAACAACGCTTTGGGATGGGGTATAGAGCGAGATCAAATAAGGGTAAAAATACCAAAAAAGAAAAACGACTCCCAGCTAAATCTTTGAAAGGTGTGCGTAAACGTAAAAGATTACCCAAAATTGCTTTTGGAAAAGCGCTGAGACGACCGATTCAAGCCGAATTACGCAAAGCTGGAGGTAAAAAAATTGCTGAAAAAGACATTCTAAACGCTTCTCGAATAGCCTTAGCTGCAGCTTTGGAAATTCTTGCGAAAATCCGGTGGTAAAAGAAGAATTTGCACTCCTAGAATAATACCTATTCCAAAAGTGGGTGGCATATTACCATTAATACCAATATTTGCCGGTCTTTCAGCTTTGGGATCACTGGCTAGAGGAGTTGGAGGTATCGTTCGTGCTATAAAGACGACAAAAAATGAGAATTCTCAAAAGACAGGCGGCCACCTAACTTTGAATTTAAAGGAAAATGGTATATATTTAAAACCATACTGATCAGGTTTAGGACTTTTTATGAACAAATCAAAAAACTCATAGGATCCCTGCCCCAAAGACCACTATCCAATATCGACATAAGCAAGTATGCATTTCAAATAAAAATACCAAATTTTAGAGGGGTTTATATGAGTGATACTCTTCCATGGCGTGGTCCAAAATGCTATGAATGTGCTATTGTTAACTTAGACAGTAGCAAGGGGTTAGGGACCCATTGGGTGGCATACAAAAAGGTAAATTCACAAGTTATTTACTATGACAGTTTTGGTAATTTACCACCCCCTATAGAATTGCTAGAATATCTACGACGAGGTTCCAAAGCTGCCACTAATATTTACTATACATACGATCGTCAACAGAAGTTTGGAACAGTCTGGTGCGGACATTTGTGTTTAAAGTTTCTCTCAGAATCATAATATGTCTTTGACACCTCAGATGGATCGAGATCATTATAAAAAATGGCTTCATCGCTTAAAGTCTACTATCGCTATGGTAGTTTACTAGAATTAACTTCTGAACAGTTAGAAAACATGCCAAAAGAAGTTATGATTACCTGTAAACCGAATGAAATTGCATTAGTGTGGGATAAGTTACCGGAACACATGAAAAACGACATTGATATCCTTAAGTATCAATATTCTAGTGAACAATACTAATTTATATGAAGAAGAAGAAAGTGACGTATCAACACCTACGTTTTTTTCAAAAGAGTTAAAAACGATAGTATATGTAATTTTAGATGGTAGTAAAGAGTAGTAAAAGCTTAAAAAGTCAGCGAAAATTATAATAAATACCAAAAAATATGCCCTTAATTACCTTATTTTTCCAACACAGTATCAGTAGCCCTCTTGATTATGCCCATTCTAACAAAAAATAAGATAGAAACAGTTAGTTCATTTTAAAATCGACGAAATAGATGATAAAGATGTATTAATATCTAATAATTAAGATATTAATAACAGTGAACAAGAAACGATGATTCAGTGAAGTCATGGTGGGCTTTGAAAAAAAGTTGCTTGTATCTTATTTTATAATGTATCTACGGTATAATATAGAGTAAGAAATGCTCTTTTAAACGAGCCCTCGTTTGTTGGATTCTGATCATCCAGTCCGGAGTTAAAAACATTTAAATAAAGATAGATCTAACCTTCCTCCACCACTTTATTTTAGCAGATAGGGGAAAATAGCTCTAACAAAAAAAATTCAAAATTTACTGAAGATTATAAAGCTATTATTTATAGTACCCATTATCTATGCAAAATTCTGTAAAAATTCTATTTTCTTATTTTCCATAGCAGCTGCGCCCCCTAGCGGCCGTTTTACAAACTTGAAAATAATTTCCAGCAATTTCTCATAGTCCTATTAGTTATAAAAAATTGCCGTAGGCCCTACGGCTAATACTTTCCCAGATACAGCCGAGAGCTATTCTTAGTGGGACACCCTGTACATAAACCTTTACCTGAATCAGAGTATATTTACTACACTAAATTATATTAAAAAATCTCCGTAGATATAATTTTCCGTGGTTTATTTTAAGTAACTTTTTGTTTACTTAAAAGAACTTTAGATTGGACTATGTTTACCTTGTCCACTCATTTTTTAAGGAAACTTTCCGATAACACCTACGCTCTCCACAACATTCTCTAATTAAAAAGAAACCACGAAGAACTTCGTGCCGATAAAAAATAAGGTCACCCTTAGTTATTAATACAAGTATCTTACTGGTTCTAGTAATTAAATAATTCAGTAATTATAACGCTGAACTTTGTTCAGGCGCAAAATAAATGATAACATTTTGTGGATAGAAATGAATGTTTATTTTTTACCAAAAAAAATATGGTTAATTGGTCAAAAAAGCTTCCAAAGTTTTTTCGTGGATCTTAATTAAACTTAAAATTATTAAGAAAAGAAAAACTCGAATAGAACTTTCTTTTAACTTTGCAAGTTTAATGTTTTTATGTCTTATTAAAGATGTACAAGTAATTATGAAAGTTTTGATAAAGAAATATGACACAAATTAACCCAATCCATATAGGTGTTGTAATAAAATAATGACTCTGGACATTGAGGAATCTAACTATTGCACAAATTATTTGTTGAAATTATTGTATACAGGGTTGTTCATCACATACGACACGGAGTATTGTAGCTAAACGATGAGATTTTTACAAATTGTAAGTTTTGGGTTCGATGAAGGACTATTAGAGGTACAATTTAACAATAATTTTACAAGATACAGAGTGTCCCAAATAAGTAAAAAATATCAAAGTTGTATTTTTTTAAATGGAACACCCTGTATATTATTACATTTTTGGTTTCTACGATTAAAATAAAGGTAAATTTGATTAAGATTTATTATACTTAAACCTTACCGTTTTTGAAATATTTTCAATTTTGTGAAATTGCAGGAAAAATTTTAAAGCTTCATTTCTCCAAGGGTATCAAAGTTTTTAATACTAAATATTTACTGAAGTTTATTTACTGATCAATTATTGTGTTGCAATAATAAAAATAATACCACCTTATACAGAGTGTCTAAAAATTTATTTTAAATAATTATTAGCTTCAAACGGCAATAACTTGTTTAATTTAAATAGAACATCCTGTATATTTTACGAGAATCAGATGCACAATTTAATTGTCTATCAAATTATATTATACCATTTTTTACCTATCTCTTTAAGTTTCCGTAGAAAATTTATTTTCTTGTAATTTAGAACTTATTTATCAATATATCCATGGACTATTGACATTTTAGATTATTTTTAAAGATGTATCAAATTTTTAAAGAGTACAGATACTAATATTGTCGATATAATTCGTTTATTTCATTAAAAAATAAAAAAAAACTGTTCAAATATTTGTTAAAGAGGACCAATTAATATGATCCAGTATTCAAACTACATTAACTGACTGTTTGCATTGATTAATAATAATTGCTCCAAATACTAAAAAACTGAATTTTGTATGGGCATTAGACAGTGTGATAAAAAGTAACACCTTAAAAATGATATTTCATTTTTTAATAAATGCTTATTTATAACAACAGAGACTTTAATTTGATAACTTATTATTATATTGATTTCTGACTCAAATCCACATTTATTTATAATAATTTATTAACGAACACAATTAAGTATGTAATTAATTAGTATATGGGCTGAAATAATGGTGTTATATTTAATTAATG